TACATCGCTTGTGCCTGTCTACACTTTGCTTCTTGTGTTGGCAGTGCGCATTCTCACCAGGAGCTCTTGTATCGATTGTACTGTCAGCGTGGGGCATTGTGAGACAGCGTTTCACAGCCAGTAACAGTCTATGTAAGCAATGCAGCGTCTACACTGACACTGCATTGACCTAACTACATCGACCTTGACTCTACGCCACTCGTAGAGGTGGAGTTATTAAGTCAGCGGACCTGGGCAGTTACATCGGTGGGAGTGAAATTTAAGTGTAGACACTTCCATAGTTAGGTTGATGTAAGCTGCCTTGCATCGACCTAACTCTAGTGTAGACCAGACCTTAGAGAGAGTCCAGTGAGGATACAAAGATCCGTAAGGATGAGTAATAGCTTCCTTTCCAATGGCTTAACTACCACTTGGAAACTGTATTTCACAGACCAGTCTGCAGGTCTCTGACACACACGTGCTTTCTCTCTCTCTCTCTCTCATTAGGAACTTTCAGTTAGGGACAGAGGTCCAGAGTGCCCTTAGCCCCTTTTCATTCTGGGATGAGAGATCAGACTTGAGAAGTGGAATCAGGTCTCTTGCATGTTAGTCAGTGTAGTAGTGAGCGGTAACTGGGAACATGTGATCTGGCCACAAGAGATTTTGTGATCTTGATTTGAACCCACATCTTTTACATGGTAGAACTTTGCATCACAAACTCAGTGACTGTGCCAGTCTCACAGAGCGGAATCAAACTGGAAATGGCGCTAATTTCAAGCGAGCATTTGCTCTTGCTGGGTTTACCACTCCCTTTATATTTCCTGCAGGGATATTGTGCTGGCATCACACCTGAAACCGCTAGAGAAAAAGGACAAAATGGGAAAAAAGAAAATCCTGTGGAATTCCTATGCTACCCACGCTAATGGCAAGCAGGACAGAGAGATGGAGCTAGCCCAGGTGAGGAGGAAAACTCCATCAGTAGGGGTTTGTCTACACACAAAAGTTAATTCAAATTAATGTAGGGTGTGAATTTAAAATGCAATAGCTGTTCCAGAATAACTCCATGTGTGGACACGTTTTCCAGAATAAGAGTGCCTTGTTCCACTTTAGTTTAATCTACTTCCAAAGTGGATTGAGCTGAGGGCTTGTCTACACTTAAAAGTTAATTCGGATTAAGGGCGGGGGTGAATTTTAAAGCACAATAGCTTTAGCATAGTGGGTCTCAAACTTTTTTACTGGCGACCCCTTTCACATAACAAGCCTCTGAGTGCGACCCCCCAATAAATTAAACACCCTTTTTAATATATTTAACACCATTATAAATGCTGGAGGCAAGCGCGGTTTGGGGTGGAGGTTGACAGCTCGCGACCCCCCCATGTAAGGACCTCACGACCCCCTGAGGGGTCCTGACCCCCAGTTTGAGAACCCCTGCTTTAGCACAAGGTGTAGACAAGCAGTAAAAGAAATCTCCAGAATCACCACAGTAGATCAGACCAAATGTCCATCTAGTCCTACATCTTGTCTCTGACAATGGCCAGGACCAGCTGCATCAGAGGAAAGTGCAAAGCACCCCCTAGGGAACAATCTATATAATAATATTCCAGGATTCACTCTGGGTGTCACTCTGAAGCGTAGAATGTCTCTGAGTCTGTGTGAAATGATGGAAACAGCCACAAGCGTGGTTGAAAGCTCGTTTTGTTTAGAATATCAGCTTGTTCAGTCATCACTGGGATTGCAGGTCTGTTACTGTCCAGTTTTTCAGTCCTCTGCCATTCTGATGTTATGAATTACAGCCATGTGACAGCAAGGCATGCATCTGTCTATGCCATGCCAAGAGTTCTAGCCATTGTGATATCAGAGATAACTCAACCAATCAGTACCCTTATGCTGCATGTAGTTTGCATACAACAGTTTCATTGGTTGTAATGAGTCAGTGATATAAGGGAGACTGCACAGATGGTGAATTACTTGGACCAGTTGCCACAGTTCTTCAAAGGTTGAATTGTTACCCATACAACTTTACATAAACTCCCCCAACAAATCTATGCAAACTCCCCACCATAACACACATACCCAGACGAATCAACACAAATCTCCCAGCAGCATCCACACCACAACCCCAAACACACAGCGCCACACTCACCACAGCATACAACCCCTCATTTGCTACCCACACAAATCAACACACATCTCTCAGCACTCCCCCAGACACAGTTCAACACAAATCTCCCTGCACCACAAATACAAATCAACACAAATTCCCAGCACAGCTACTTCAGACACAACACCACAACCAGCACACACACTAACCCCGAACACACACAGCCTCTCACCACAGCACATACCTCTCATTCACCTGGTGCACAAATAAAAAAAATCTACCAGCACAACATACACCCTCACCCACTCACTCATATTTACCATAAAACCATAAACTTGAGTGGCAAAGCCATTTTGACTTTACGAATTAAACTCAGTGATAGCACAACCTTTCAGTTACTAGTTATGGAATGACCTGTCCAGAGGGGAATTCTGCTCCCAACACCCACCAGCTGGTGGAATTCTGCACCTGCTTTATGTAACTGTTATTGATCATCTTTTCATCCAGGGATGGGATGGACTCCCTGAAACGTCTGCAGACTTTTACAGATATTGGCGCAGATGCTTGAAAAGTGGACAGGAAAAATACCAGTTCCTGTTTCAGCTCGGCGGCAAGGGCCTGGGCAGAATCTTTCAAGCTGACGTTGGCTTTGGCCTCCTGGGTGAATTTCTTGTGGTGCTGGCCAAGCATGCCTGTAGGGAAGACAGAGAAGCCGTCCTTCAGATATTACAGAGCCTTTCTGGGACCAAGCGCTTTGGACTCAATGTGGCTCTCCTGAGCCAGGTGGAGAAGGATAGCTGCAGGGACTTGTTTGGGAAACTACAGAGCATGGGCAGGAATTGTGGTGCTGATGGCCTTCCTGAGGGCACAGCTGAAGCAGATACAGCTGCTTTGCAGGAAGAGGAGAATGAGGCTGAGAGAGAAATCCCTCTGAGGGGGGCTGGCCAGCGAAAGGAGGCAGATGACAAACTAATTAAAGAGCTGGTGAAATGTTACCTTGTTAGCTGAAGGAGCACAGGCTCACCCTACAGCTCACACTCCACCAGGGTTACTAGGAGCTGAGGGCCAGGAGGGACCCTTCCTGTACTGCTCTATCATCAAAGATGGAGGGACAGTGAGAGCCCCTTTTCTACAGAAAGTTGTTGATTGAGTTTTACTTTGTACCTGCTTCACCTGTCTAGAAGAATGGCCTGGTACAAATAAATATTAGTCACCAAAAGGATTATATTGGGGGAGGGGCCATCACACAGGAGACAACACGTGCTGTGAATCAGTAGTACAGCATTGAATATATTGTTCGGGGATGGGAAAAATCACTAGTATTAGTGGGAGAAGATTAATTCCCCTCTTTTCTTTTATCTGGCTACGTGTTCTTGGTCAACAGGGGATTTTAGAAACATAAGCAGCTGTATTATAATAGTTAAACAGGTACCAGCCAAATGAGGAATGGGTTCATGTGTACAGCCATATCTGGGACTGATCTGACCCCCTACTTAAACAGAATCTGGGATAAATACATGGAATGTACATTGCTAATTTCCACAGTCGTACTCCTGAGGACATGCTGTGCCAAAAAATTAAAAATTCTGCACCAAAAATTAAAAATTCTGCAAATTTTATTTGTCAGATAAATGTGGAGGATCCAGCGTAGCCTTGGGGAGCACAGGCGATTGGCTGCACAGAGGTGGGCGGTCACTCTGCAGCTCCCCCGGGACATGGACTCAGTGGTGATGCTGCACCCAACCCTGACACAGTGCAAGAACTGAGCCTGCCCCAGAAACACCCCAGGGCCCTGCCTCTCTGTGCCAGGTGCACCAGGTGTGGGCCGGCAGGCTCAGCCCACCAGCATCCAAATGTGGAAGGGCTCAGTGTGGGGGGATCCAGGTGTTGATTGAGAGGGTTCTGTATAGGGCAATCTGGGTGCGGGCAGCTCAGTGGGGGATCTAGGTGCGGGCTGCGTTAGTAGGAGCATTGCCACAGATTGAGGGAAGTGATTATTCCCCTCTATTTGGCACATCTGGAGTATTTGGGCCTCCCACTACAGAAAGGATGTGGACAAATTGGAGAGAGTCCAGCGGAGGGTAACAAAAATGATTATGGGACTGGAGCACATGACTTGTGAGGAGAGGCTGAGGGAACTGGGCTTGTTTAGTCTGCAGAAGAGAAGAGTGAGGGGGGATTTGATAGCAGCCTTCAACTACCTGAAGGGAGGTCCCGAAGAGGATGGAGCTCGGCTGTTCTCAGTGGTGGCAGATGACAGAACAAGGAGCAATGGTCT